TGACACCATACACAAAAATTAACTCAAAATGGATTAAGGACTTGAATATAAAAAGTGAAATAATAAAACACATAGAAAAAAACATAGGCACTAAACTTATGGACCTTGGTCTCTGATGGGTTTTTATGAACTTGACCCCAAAGGCAAGGGAAGTAAAAGAAAAAAATAAATGAATGGGACGGCATCAAACTAAAAAGCTTTTGCACAGCAAAAGAAACCATCAACAAAACAAAAAGGCAACCAAATGAATGGGGGAAGACATTTGCAAATGATAGCTGTAATAGGGGCTAATATCCAACATATATAAAGAACTCATATAACTCAACAACAACAAAAACCCACAAAAATCTGATTAAAAATTGGGCAGAGGACCTGAACAGAAATTCTCCAAGAAAGACATACAGAAGGCCAACAGATATGAAAAGATGCTGAACATCACTAGTTACAAGGGAAATGCAAATCAAAACTAAGAGACACCACCTCATAATGGTTACTATCAATAAGACAAGAAAAAACAAGTGTTGGAGAGGATATAGAGAAAAGGGAACCCTCGCACACTACTGATGGGAATGTAAACTGGTAGAACTACTATGGAAAATAGTGTGGATGTTCCACCAAAAATGAACAAAACAGCTACCAAATGACCTAGCAATTTTTTGGGGTATCAACCAAAAAAATTTGAAAACATGTATTCGTAAAAATATATGCACCCCTATATTCATTGCAGCATTATTCAGAGTAGCCAAGACATGGAAACAACTTAAGTGTCCATCGACAGATGATTGGATAAAGAAGAAGTGGTACATATACACATTGGAATACCACTCAGCCTTAAAAAAAAATGAAATATCATCTTTTATGACAACATGGATGGATCTTGAGAGTATCATGTGGAGTGAAATAAGTCAGACTGAAAAGGACAAGAACCACATGATTTCACTCATATGTGGGATATAAAACAGAAAGCAACAATGAACAAACAGAACAAACATACAAACAGAAAAACAGACTCATAGATACAGAAAACAGATTGGTAGTTACCAGAAGGGAAGGGAGGTGGGAGGAGGACAAAGAGGGTAAAAAGGGTCAAATACAAGGTGACAGAAAGAGACTAGGCTTTGGGTGGGGAGCACTCAATAGAGTATAAGATGTCATTATGAAGTTGTATACCTGAAATTTATATAATGTTATTAACTAATATTATACCAATAACTTTAATTTAAAAAACTAGACATTTCCAACTAAATCCTACTTTAGTTATGTCCCAAAGATTTTCTTTTACTTTCTATTCCATACAATTTGATACACAGTGCTTCAGCATGTCACTTACCGTCTCTGCAACTCAGATGCCTCAACGGAGGCATTATAGCATTATAATCAAAAACATACATTTTGGAGTTTTAATTGATCAGGTACTGAATTCCAGGTAATGAGTCATGCAACTTCAATCTCTCTAAGCTTCAATGTGCCCATCTATAAAATGTTAACTCAGAAAGTGAACAAAAGTATTTGCATCCTGCACAGTGCATAGAAAGCATTCAACTTTGGATAGTATCCATTTTTTTTAATTATGAAAAGACTAGATAATCTCTAAAACTGTACTCTGGTCCTAGGAAAGTATTACTAACTCTCAGTGCACTGAGGAAGTCAGAGCTCTAGCTAGAAGAGGTTGACATACTGAGGTACTGGGATGGGGACCGAAGCAGACGGTACGTGTCAAACAACAGCATCCAAGCTGCAGGACCTGAACATCCTAAACTAGGGCAGTTCTTTACTTTGTAGTGGATGCTGATCCCCTGATCCAGCTGTGAATGAGGAACCACTTCACCTAACTGTCAGGAAGCTACTGATGATAATGTCCTTCTATAATAAGTAGAATTCCAAACCTCAATGTCCTGGAGAAGAAAAAAAAAAGAGTACTTATTCTAAGGCAGTAAGGTCTTCATTATTTTAATTTACTGATAAAATCAGCTCTGCTCTGCATAATGAGAATTCATCCAGAAAATACATTCAACGAGAGGCCCATGGTATGTCATTAACATTTAGGAACAAGAAAGTGGGCATAAAACAGAAAAATTCCAAAAAACATTATAACCAATATTGAAAGTCTCTGGGTTACTAGTGAGATTGGCCCCAAGAGCCAAAGTGCTAATTAAACACTTTACATAATTCTCAACTACAAAAGCAAGAAAACAGTGTTTGTCTTGCCCAACCCATACCATTACTGAGGATTAAATGAAACAACAGAAATCAAATTAAAAAAAAATATTTGTAAATTCTAAAGGGTTTTTTTTTAATTTTAACCCATTGATATTTAATATTTCCCTCCAAATGCAGATGAGAGCTACATAATTATACATCTATTCTAGCCCTACTACCCTTAGGAAGTTGGTGTTATTATTACACTCATTTACAGATTAGTAAAGAGGATAAATAACTCATCCAAGGTCACATATCTAGGTCTGACTCCAATGTCCATGCTTTTGACCACAATGCTACTAAATCGAGATCACCTCTCTGTGAAGGTCAGCAGATTAAAAGAGATGTTCATAAAATCAGAGCAATTCCAGATACTGTGTATTGTACATTGCCAACATGAGAGGGCCACCACATTTCCTGGACCCTGAACAGGAAGAAAAAAATTTAAAAAAATAAAAAAAAATCAGGTATTTTCCCATATCCCTTTTTGCCTTAAAGAATTTTAAAATTTAAAAAAAAAAAAAGAAAAAAAATTCCTCGATCCATGTTCTTTTTCATATGTACTTAACTTAATGATTTGAAAAAGTCGATCAAAGTCTACAATAGCTGCAGAGAGGAAGACAAAATCAACTAAGTTCAAATTACAGAAATATATGACAAGTTTCAAAGAGCTGGTTCAAACTACCTATGATGGGCTCTAACATGAGAAAGTTGCTTTGGAAACAGTGACCCTTGTCAAGTGTCACCAGAGTGATTTAATTAAAAAAAAGTAAATGCTAATCAGTAGGCATAGTACATTAATTTAATCATCCCAAATTCAAAAGGAAGTTAGTTTTCACACTGTTATGTTTTAGGATGAGACAGATATATTTGAGCAGTTGTCCTAGTAACTTAGGAGGTAATCACTGAAACTCAGTTACTACCACAATGGCTAAAAACAAATCTAAAAGCCATTCAAAAATGACCACAAATATAGTCTTTATTCTCTATGGTGCAAGAAACCAATCACAAGCCCATCTTTGTGAGAACTAGCTAATAAGAACATTATTTGAGAGAAGTACAAAGAGAAGGATGGAGCACCAAGAGGAAAAAGGTATTTATTAGACTGTGACAAGCTTTTAAATGTTTCCATTATCATTAACCAACTGCCTGACTGCCTGGTTCTGTGGTTCCCACACCTGCCCTCTCCATCCAAAGCTATCACTGCAGCAAACCCGGAAGTAGGCTCACGTCTAGATCACTGGCACCCTCTTCTGACCCTTTTGCAGTACTGCATGCATACCAGTCTGACGTGAAAACTTTAATAAAGCCGTAAATTAGTAACTTTGCAAGTAACATTTTCCAGATAATTGTATATTTGAAATTCCATAAACAAACATAATTTAGCTTAATAAAAATATGATAGAGCATTAAAATTTATAAAATTTATGCCCATGAAAAGAAACCAACCCTGTTCTCTTAACATTTTAATAGTTTACCTATATTAGCTGATTTTATTACAAGAATTACAATAACTAACATACAAAGACCTTACTGTGTGTGCCGAGCACTAAGTATGAATAAACAGATTCAATCCTAACAACCCTATGAGGTAGGCACTCCTATTCTCTTCATCTTACAGATGTGTAAAGTGAGGCAAAATGAAGTTAAATAACGCACCCAGGATCACGCACCTGGGTGAGAAGCAGTAAGGTTGAAGGTCAAACTCAGTAAGTGTGACTGCAAAGCCAGAGTCTTATTTATCCCTAAAATATCCCTCTGAGGTAGAACGGAGTTGATATCACAATAAAATATGACATGATTAAAAGAGGAAAAAAAAGTAAGTTGTAAGGAAAGTTACAAGTAAGTCATCCAAATCTCTCAATTTCAACAAAGTCCCAAACTGTATGAAAATAGTACATGAAATAGCTTTGGTCATTTTCTCATTCCTCTTCACTTGAAGATTCTGATCCTCTGGGTCTATGATGTTTTTATGCATTCTTTTTACTCTCCATTGCTTTTCTCCATCAAACTATGCCCTTATTTATCTATGATCTGGTTCTTTAAAAGGAAAAACTAAACCATACTATAACACTTTTTTTTTCTTCTATAAAGCAAAACTACTTACCTTTTCTTACCTAAATTCCCTATTTCATTGAGATCTTTAAAAAATATTTACATTAAGACAGTAAATCCAAGTAGCATCATCAATTCCTTCTCATTGCAAATATGATAGATTCTCATCTGTCTAGAATTATTTGATGTATTGCTACCTGAAATCAGGGCTGACAGACTAGCTCATTTAAGATTTCTAAAAATACTAACTTTATTTTCAAACAGGATATGAAGGCACCTTGTCTAATGATCTGTAGTTCAAAAAGATATCTATGTAGAACATTTCTAGATTCCACAATTTGCCTACTTAAAGCTACTCATAATATCAAAATTTAAGAACACTTACTAATCCAAACACAGGATAACAAAGCGCACTGCCATTCATGAGAACATGGATGAGAACAAAATCTTCATTTAGATTTCTTTCTTATAATTATGTTTTCATTTTATAATGTTAGTTTTAAGTATACTTTACAAGTGTAGACTTAGTGAAAGTGTATTGAAAACATAAACTGCACCACTGTTAATTTGTTAGACCCAAAAACAAGATGGTTATATTTTAGTACAATAACTGATCACACTGCTAAAGAATTAATCATAACATTATTCTTATTTCCCTAATCTAAGCATAACAAAAACAGTACAGGTAATACATATGAAAAGGTGCCAAGGAACCAACTCCCTGCGAATCCCAGAATGCTTTGTACCTCGGTCTGGAGGATGGCAGCCCTCTGTTCCTTAGCAGTCAAGGACTCCTTCAGGACTTCAATGTGCTGCTTGCTGTCTGAGAACTGGTTTGTGAGCGTTTCTAGCTTTGTCTGTAGAGCTAGTAGTTCTGTGTCCTTCCTGGACAGCTCCTGCTTCACTTGACCAATCTAAAGAAGAAAATAAAATGCTATAAGCAAAAAAGAAGTGAAACCACCACCTCTAATATGGATCTTTAACAGATCTGAATTACAGGATAAGAAAGAAAATGCAGCATTAGCTTTTTGACAGGACATCATTCATCTTTTGCATCATCTAATCTTAGATAACCACCACCAACCCCTCCCTAAAAAAAATAAAAAAATAAAAAGTTTATTCAACTAATAGGGACATTTCCAGTTTTCATTTACTGTGTCTCCTAAACATTTTTTGAAGTCCCTTAGAAAAGGAATGGAGGGAGAAATATCCCAATTCACTTAGAGACTGAAATGGCAGTAAACATATGAACAACACTGTGCTGATGAAAGTTTACATTTGATAAAGTCAGAACTCTTCAGAACATAAAATAGGGTTAGTGTAGATGCAACTGAAAAGGAAAAAAAGAAACCTCCTGGTGTTGCTATTTCAATTCAAAAGCTGCCACTGCTGTATTTTTTCATTAAGGTTTTTCTCATTCTCAAACAAAAGTTTACATAAAATCCTTATCTTAAAAGCCATTTTTAGTGTTATCAGGCATTATTTATATATGCTTTTTAAAAATCCCATGATACTGCTGAGTTAGGGGTACTGACTTAAAAGAAAAGTTTTACCTACAAAGTTGTATAGCCTACACCATGTCATTCCAACTAAATGATGATGACCTACATAAAGAATGCATAAATCTCATTCTGTAGAATGTACATGTGTAAACTGAATTTTAACTACCCTGACACAGTAATCCATAAATCAACAGGGGCCATTCCTTCTCCTATAAATGTCTCTGACCTTAACTTAGAAAACATTATTTCTAGCATCTCTTTTACATTTCTGTGTTTCTAAAAATTTTTTAAATAGTCTTTTATTCTCAGTGTAAGCCAAATTAACAGAAATCAGATTTCTTTTACATTATATTACTGCCTCACAAGGTAACTGTGCACTAAAAGATGGTTTAACTATTGGAAGTATAACTGTGACAAGAAGTCAGTAATTTCAGTATCTCTGATAAAATGAAAAGTACTTTTTATTTTTTTATTCAATATATGTAAAGTATTTTAATTGTAATAACTTAGGTATAGTAAAGTTATAGGACAAAGCTTTTCAGAATAATTTCCCATAAGGAAGTATAAAATAAAGTTTACTTTAATTAAAATTAGGCTTTTAAAAAACACTAAAAATAAATTCTAATTTACTCTTCTGTTTCACAAGAAGACAAACATATTTCTCATATGCATGAAATCTCTTTCTACAGATATAGTTATTCATTCAACATGGACGCAAAGTACTTGAGGACACTAAGAACATCAGTGGAAAATCATTGTAAATGGCAACTATTTCATCCTGGTGTACTAATCTGTACCAAGAGTTGCCATTGTAATTGTGTAGTGTCTTTCATGATATTCCTTTACCAACAAAAAATACACACTCCACCCCTAACATACAGAATGAACTAACAACACACTTGCTGTATGAATGAAGAATATTCAGGAGAAATGTTCAAAGTGTTATCACTTCCTCAGCTAAATACAGGACTATGGCTTAAAGATTACTCAAATTTCTAACTACCTCTAATCCAGTGATCAAAAATAAATATAAAGTCTCAGTTTCCTCATCATCTGCATTATTACGTAATCTTCAAATAGTGCTATATTGACCATAAAGACTGAGAAAGTGAAGAAAATATTCTAAAGGGAGAACAGAGTTTGGAAGCACAAATTTTGCTTAAAAGTGAGAAGCAATGGGTTTGTGAGTAATTATTTTACCTCTCTAAGCCTTGGTTTCCTAATCAGAAATATGGAAAAAGTAAATCAGTGCCACTGTATTGTTTAGAGATAAAACAAAATAATGTATGGAATGTGCTTAGCCTATTGTTTGACACAAAAACAAATGAATAGTAGCTGAGAAAAACAAAGAGGCGTTACAGATCAAGTGCTCCTCTAGACAACACATGATTACCATAAACCAAATTCAACCCTTTCAGACCAAATGTCTCACTTTTTATCTACACTGTGAAGTGGTCCATAAATAGCCAACACACCAAACTAGCATGTATTTTTTTATGTTGCATTCCAATCTTATCCCACCATTATTTTCAAAAGCCCTGAAACTTGTGTGACTAACGTGAGCACAGCCTGGTGTAGGGCAATGGAGTGAGGAGCTTACAGCTTGGGCTCCAGAACCAGGCTGCATATATAAAACTCAAACTCTCTTCTTCCTAGCTATGTTTTCCTAGACACCATACTGTTGCCCCATGTTCCTCACCTATAAATTGGGGTTGATAATATACCTACCATAGTTTATAAAATGTTTATGAGTGTTCAAGTATTAGCTATTCTATTATTATATTTTGAAATGAATTTTAAGTTCTTTAGAAAGAAGACTGAACTAGATTTAGAGACTTTAAATAAGCTTCATGCTAATTCTAATTTACTAGATAACTCTAAATAAGCTAATCACTTTCTATACATCTGTTCTAAAGAAAGTAACATTTGTTGCAAAATCACTAAATGGGGACTGAAACATGGTACCTAATATGAAGGGAAAGCACTTTACTCAATTTCAAATTCAAATAAACACTAGGTGATGGACCTAGGATACCTGCATATTTGTGCCGAAGAAGAAAAAAGAGACTACCATTCATATCAATCAACAAGTATCTCGTAACAGGAAAGGAGTTGAGAAAAAACAAGCTTTGAAGTACCATCCATACAGTGACAACAGCAGTAATAAGGAATCAGGTACAGGGTTTCCAGAACGTATGAGGGCTCACTGCACACAAAGTGACAGGGTCAAGCTGGGGAGCAGAGTTGGTTAGAGAGCAGAGCGGGCTGGTTAGTGCCAGCACTGGGCAAAGCTGCCAGCCACAGAGAATGGAAGTGGAAGCCACCCAGAAGCCAGAGCCAGCAGCTCCCACTGTGGGCCCCCGGCACACACACAGTGAATCTTACGGCAAAGACCTCAGCCTGAAGACCAGCTGCTCTCTTTTTCAGCTCCTCCCCTTGAGCCTCTTTCGAACTTAGTTCCTCCTTCAGTTGTTCTACCTGCCACGACATTGTTATTCTTTTTCACTTATGTGTCAGTTTAAGTTTTATTATCTGCTTTGAGCCAGAGCAGTAACTGGAAATAACAAGAACATAGAATACAATCAAATCTGTTCCCCTAATTCCCTCTTCAAAGGACCCTAAATGGTTTCTCGATTTTCAACGAGTTTTTTAAATGGCCCGGAATGTGCTCATCACCAAATGGGAAGCAGAGCTTATACCGTAGTATGTTTTGTTCTCAAATTAGGGTGAAAAATCCACACTAATGGGAAGTTGAACATGTAAATTTTTAAGTTTTAAGTTAACATGAAATTGGCAGTCATCATTGATAGCAGATTCTTAAAATAATACAGGAATATTCTACAGATTTAAATGCCAGGTATGAGATTACCAAGCAAGAAGCCAGAAACTGGAGAGGGAGTTATAATTGTATCATTCCTTTACGGCTTTCACTTCTGAGAAACTGTTGAACTAATACAACTGGGACATGGGGCGGGGCGGGGAGGTTCCTATAGTCTAGGTAATACTTTATAATTACAATTATGACTTTTAATTAAACCACAACAAACCTGAGAAATTGATAAATGCAATGAACTAAATCCTCCAATTTGCCTAAAGAGCTTATAGAATCAAACTAGCTGACCTTCCATCTGAGGCAGGAATACTGTGACCAAGTTGATACACACATACCAGCATGTCCCAATGACTCCTATATTCCTTTACAGACACCTTGAAGCGCACACGGGAAACAATAAACCTGATACAAATGGCTCTTCTCCAAGGGACCGAAAAGGGATTTCCTTTATGGGACTGTATTTGAAGGGAAAAAATGACTTAAGCCATTTCAGGGTTAAGGGGTGGGCTAAATTCAGCCTCCTAGTGTTTTTTACTTTAAAATACTTCACAAGAGGCAGAGAACTATAATAGATGTCTCGTGTAGTAAGAAAAACTCATCTGGTTGTAATTCTACTAAATCATCTAAAAGTCCTGATAGCATAAAATGCTTAACTGTAATAATACATACTTAGCCTCATGCAGGTAATTTTGTTTTAAGTGAAAACTTGAAATGGCTATAGAACTTCAGTAATTCTGACGTTAATTCTGGACAAGTTCCACTTGAAAGAATTATTTTAGAAGTATGCTTTCCTGAAGTCTGATAAAACAGTGTGAAGGTCTTCACCATCACTAAGGACGTAGGAATATGCATCAATTTCTCTAACCCTTTTTTTAGATTACAGTATCACACACCATTACCTTATTTTTCATAAATTTAGAATGGCTCCGATAGACCTCCATTTGCTTCATTTCCTCCTCTCGTTCTTCAGTACTCAAAGCCCCATTGGATTTCAGCATCTGAATTTCTTCTTCCAAGTCTCGGAGCCCACGCTCCATAGAGGAAATTTTGGAATCCTGAGAACAATGGAAGACTTAAACATTGAAGTATTCACACAAAAAATAAGAGAAGCTGAACAACCCAGTCTTTACAGATGTTAAGTATAACAATGATAAGAATGCAGGAAACTGCTGTCTAGCAATTGATGCCTTGCTTCTAAAATATATCCTTTATGGCCACTTGGGTGGGAGGAGGAGGACCCATATCTATAATATGATTTTTCCGCTATCCCTTCCTCCAGTCTAGTCTGCACCCTTTCAATTAAAGTTGAGAGAATTAACAAAAAAGTAGTAGCCGTGGAAAACTGGTTAATGTTTCTTTATACTTTACGGTCAACAAATATCTAGTGAAAATTTTTATAATATTAACAGTAAAACCTTTTCTAGTTATATTTTATCATTTTACTTGGTGACCACTAAAAGCTTTTTCTGCACACAAAGGAGAGGGCAGAAGTATAAGAGGGTTTCAAAGATTTACACAATTATGTGTATAACAACAGTTACAAAAATAAAGGTTTTAGAACATCCCATTGCAGAAAAACAATGGGATGAATAATTACATTAATAGTTACAGTTGGTCCTATTAGTAATCTTACTTTTTCTCTATACTTCTCCATACATTTGAAATATTTCATAATAATTTTTTTTAATTACTGTCCTTGTAATTCAGGACCACCACAAATATCACCTCCTAGAACATCCTTTCATATTCAATTTCTTGGGTTAGTTTGTCACAGTATCTAGTGATTACTTTAGATCTCATCAATCACAGAAAAGCTCTCCCATAGAATAGATACTTTTATATCTATCATTGTACAAGCTTATTCACCTAAGAACTAAAGACCTTAAAGAGCATCAGTTAAGTATAGCTTTATTTTATTTGGAATTTTAGAAAAACTATGCCTTTAGGAATTAATTTTGAGAATAATTTCCTCTTGCACTTTACCTCAAGGATTGCTTGATTGACTTTCCTTGCTATCATAATTCTTAGAACATGCAGATAAAGGTTAAAGGATTTCTCACAAGATGACTACACCTCGCTATTTTTAGGTTCGGGGAGAGGAGGGCATGTACTCCTCTGTCTTACATTGTATTCCCTTTAAAAATATCACAACAAAAGTTTTCTTTTACGAATTTATTCAAATTAAACTTACATTTGGTTTAAAATTCAATGTACTGAGTCAGTACAATCAGAGACATTCTAAATCTAAGCCAGGATCTTTATTTACTCCTTGGAAATTAGTGGGTCTCAGGCAATCACCCGGCCCGTAAAGAACAAATAAACTACTTCAATTGCACTATCTGAAAATTCACTATTGAGATTATTATAAATCTTCCTGGAAATATCAGGATGCTAGCCCTCAAAAATGATGAAAATACTAAGCACATGCATGTGACTAACCCGCAAATGAAAGAGAAATGAGGCTCACTTCTGACCTTAGCCTGGATGGCAATGGAAGGGGCTGCGGAACCAAGGGGGTGTGTCTCTAGCACCACTGGGGCTCCACACAAGATAAAGGAGCCTTCAGCTGGAAAGCCCAGCTCTGCACATCACACAGAAGGTACTGCCCCTGCAAAGCCCCTCAAGGCCCATGTCAACAAACATGATCCATCTTCTTCCAACCCCAACACAGATAGAGGCAGCTCTTGACCAAATCAGCATCCTCAATGCCAAATCACTCACCCACCATGAAAGGTTCTCCCCAAGAAGGGGACCATAACTGCAGCTCTGAAAGCCACGAGGCAGGAGCTGACTGCCCAGAAAAAGAACCTGCCAGGCTACTCTTTGACATCAGGGTAGAAAATTAATGCCTGATATGCTCGACTTGTTCTAACACCAACTCAACCAGTACTCAGGCTGCGTTTATCTGGGGACAGTCCTTCCAATGAGGCTTCTTACTCCTAGGATGTGTAATAACTAAGTAAATAAATTCCTTATCATGTTACTGCTCTGTACTTCCCCAGTCCTGGGTCTTCCATCATTAATCAACCAATCCCACTGAGCCTAATGAAATCCTCAACTTTTTTTCAAAAGTTGTCTCCCTATCCCACGTAAAACACAGCTTTCCCAAAGGATATAATTTCCCTGAACCCTCTCCAGTGAAGGTCACCAACCCCCAGCACCACACAACATCAGGGAAAGTGTGGGCATCCTGGCTCCGCAATGCTCTTCCCCTTTCTTTAAGACTCACATTCCTCTTCACCCCACCCTCCTCACTGAGGCCATCGAGGGGCTCCTTGTCACTCCTGCCCATTTTAAGAAGTCTTTGGCACCTGACTTACAACCGATCTCCCCTTCAAATGCCTCTTGCCACCATTTCAATGTCCGAATTCTTTGATGCCCCTAATTCCAGCGACCTCACCCTCCAGTCCATTTTAGCTATCTGGTTTATAGGTCTACACTCTGAATTATTCACTACCCAGGCTCTCTTCCCAGGCCTGTCACCATCACTCTCATTATCTGCTCTTCGTCAACTTCACAGAGATCTCTACTTCCCTAACTTTTGTATTTTCTCCCAACCTGCCAGTTCATGCTAAATTTTTCTCCTTCCTATGCAGCTACCTTCCTGGGCTGATCATCCAAACTACTCTTTCACCATCACCCTCAATTCATTGGCATCCCAATAATTCTGCTGTATCCATCCAAAAAACTCTAATCCTTGTGCCATACAGTAGTTCTTCCATGTTCATCCACTGCTAAAGGGAAAAGAAACAAAATAAGAGAAAAAGGAAGCAAAGGGGGAAAGAGGGTAGAGAGGGAAAAGATGGGAGGAGGAGAAGGGAGAAGAGCGGGGGGGGGGGAGCGAGGAGGCTGAGGAGGAGAATTACATCACCTCAAAGATGACTGTTGGGCCCTTTTATTGCCTGTCAATCATCTTCCTTTCCCAATTCCCCAAAGACTATTCTAGATCTTCATTATTCTCCCAAGCTCATGCCACACTCAGCAACTCAACTATTTCAGTAGTGATTTCAGCGTGACATCCACCTGATACTACTGGGCCACCAGAATCTCAGAGTCTCTTGCTTCTTAACAGAATGGCTAAAGGTTAACACAACTTAAAATAGATCCACTACCAATTAATACCATTATACTTTCCCATTTTGTCAAAAGGCAACTAAAATAATTTTGTGAATGGAGGTACATTCATTGTGGTTTATTCTTAGGTTTCAATGGGGATCTGGAAATATCATGTACAAATAAACCTGTGGGAAATGTGACATTCAATTAAACCTTTTAAAAGCTCTTTATAAGATTATGTTCAAGACTACTAATGGTCTAACTACAAAGAATCTAGAATTCATTAATTTGGAATTTGCTTGGAAAGTCATTTCCCCATTGAGAATAAAGATGTACATGATATAAACAAAGTTTTTAGAGGAATCATACAAATTAAAAGAACAGTTCTCATAACTGCACTTGAGAAGCATCTACTTATATAAAACTATTTATATGCCAAAAACTAAATATTCTTGTCATATCAATGAATATTAAATGAAGGTCCACAATGTAAAACATAGTATCAAACATTTTAGGAAATGTGAAGAAGTTAAAAACAGAGAGAGAAAGAGAGAGACAGAGAGAGACAGAGAGAGAGACAGAGAGGCAGAGCGAGAGAGAGAGAGATTTCCCTATGTGTAAGAACCTTTTAGCTGTTGTTAATAAAGAACATGTTAAAAGTCAGGCCGAGTGGCGCGATGGTTAAGAACTGGCTTGGGACGCCAGAGGGCCCCGGTTCGGATCCCACATATGAGGGCCAGTGACACTGCCCTCTACAGC